ACTTAATGGAATTCCTGAGCCAGGCTGACTTTTCTGGGGGAGCTTGGGAGGAGGCGTGTGTGGAAATTGGACCACTGCTCTAAATGGCATTTAACCAGGTCTCCGTATGTTCCACATGCTGCCTTATATGGCAGCTGTCAACTAAGGAGGAGGCTTGGGTGAGATTACTGCTGAGATGTGTCCTTGGTGGGGCAGCTCAGCCCCACGTCGTACAGATGAGTCGGTGTGGGCAGAGACAGCGGTCAGGAGAGCTCTGCTGTGGTGAGGATGTGCAGAGCTTGTCCAAGCCTATTCCTGGTGGCTCTGGAGGCTGGAGAGGCCCCGTTGGTGTTTTCCAATGGGTCTCCTGAGCCTCCACCTATGACTCTTGAGAGTACTCCTCTCTGGAGAGCTCCACACGGCCCTTGGCACAGCATCTCTTGTAGTGTGGCAGATAGGGGAGGCAGCCTTGCTATTACCTTCTTCCATATCAGCGTGTAGGAAACACTCGTCCTTCCGCATCTCCTCCCTCTGTGCTGCCTGAACCAAGGCAGGGGTGCTGCCCTGCCCCAATTACTTAGGGTGAAAATCTGTGCTGGGAGATAAACCTCTCGCTCTGGCTGACTTCAAGGTCTTTGGTCTTGTGTGGGTTGTACATGGACATCAGCTATGACTTAAGTCGAAGGAGGTGGAAGTTGGGTATCATGATGGCCTTTTTTGGGCATGGGGAGGGAAAGGATGCTCCTTTAATAAAATCTGTTTGGGTTTTATTTCCCCCATGGTGATGAAGAGGAAAGGTTTGAAGGTCCCAAACAGCTTTCTAGTAGGGCTGGTGAGGACAAAGAGCTTAAGTGATGTTTGAGTTGGATTTCAGTGGGTACTTGTGTTTGCAAGGGACAGTAAGCAGTATGGGGATTGTCCCACCCCGTGGCTTTTGCAGTCAGGGACTCTCTTCAAGCCCCACCAACAGCTCACTAAGACAACAAGCAAATAAAGTGAATAAAATTATCAAACACTGCCCGTAGGACATCGTGTATGCAGCCCTTGCCCTGCTAATAGGCAAACAAATACAGATGGCAAACTGAAATTTAAACAGATTAAAAAAACCAAACAGCTCTTGCACTGAAATTGGCTTATCTCTACATGTAGTCCAGCCTGGAAATAAGTCCACCTGATCCCACGGACTTGTTTCCTCCAAGTGTTTCTTTAATTTACAGTAACAATTGCTCTGTGGCCGTATTCATCTCGATCCCAGTCCAGAAATGGTGCAACGTGATTTCCTCCTGTGGCCACCGCTGCTGCGAAGGCTCTCGCATCACCGTTTCCTGTTGACTCAAACGCTCTTCTCTTGTTTCGCCGACATCAGAGACAGCAGATCAGGGATGGCTTCTGAGCAATCCAAAATAGAAGAACAGAAATGTGAGGATTCCAGCATTAAGCCCTGTCAGAAAGCACTCAGGCTTTCAACTCCTCCCGATTCCTACCCCAAGAAAGGAGGCACATAACTCGGAGTCAGGTCAAATTTGCAAGCATCTGACCTGCCTGCTGTTTTAAGATTTCCTTTTCCTTGCCCCTGTTTAGGCTGTTTATTCACTCTTACTCTGCCTGCTGCAAATTGGTTTCTTGGGGATTTTTTCCCATAAAATACCACTTATTTTATTTCTCAGTCATTCCTAGGAGAGAGGTTGGCCTTTGCAGTTTGGCAAGCTGATGGCCTTGTGTGAAGGCAAAAATGGAAGACCTTGCTTGGCTCTTAGATCCTGGTCCCCAGAGGGTGATCTTTAGAGCTGATTTTTCCTATACTGTTGCCAGGTGTGTAGCAGGCCAAGGCACAAATGCTGTATTATGAACAGATCGTAATGCCCATCCTGCTCTTTTCTTCAGCAACCTCATGGGATATCTAAGTGTTTGAAAACTGGACAGACATTAACTTGGACATCTTTTAAAAAATAAAAATAAAAATTTAGTAGTCCAGAGCCCTCTAAAAATTTAGAGTCCACCCTAAATGGGAGAGCTTCAGTGATTAAATAATCCCTATTTATGCTTGACCTGTGACATGGGACCATGGGCGGAGGTGAGGCATTAGCTGTCACACTTGAGTACCATGTAACACATGCGATGAGACTTGCTCAGGTTTGTGGTTAGTCTGAAGCAAGAGCTGTTTGTAACAAAAAGATGCTAATTCCACGTCAGCAGTGCTGTGAATTGTATGGCCTGGCTTAACCAACACCACACAGCTGCTTGCTCAGTCCCCACCTCCTACCTGGTGGGGTCGGGGAGAGAATCAGAGGAGAAAGGTCAGAATGCTTGGGGGTTGAGATAAAAACAGTTTAGTGATTGAAATAAACTAAACTAAAAGAGTAATAATTGTAAATTTTAATAATAACAGGAACGATGATAATAAAAGTTATGAAATTATGCTTAGCTTATGCAGAAGTTGCAAGTCATGTGTTCCCAGCAGTGAGTATTAGATAAAATAATAAGCACTGCAAACACAACAGCTCCGGTGAAAGCGGGAAGTAGGAGGCCTCGGGAGCTTAACAACAGGTGAAGACCTCAGGGGAAGGCAAACATCAAGGAAAGGGAGAAAATCCCCAGTAAACTCCCCAGGTCACAGTGACATTTGTGGTATGGAATAATTCTGTTGGTCAGCTGCCCTGAAAGCCCGTGGCTTTTTGCTCCAGCTTCTGCACCCACTTCTCTCAGAACTGCTGAAGACCTTGATCACTGCACACCAGTGCTGGCCAAAAACTAAAACAAAGTGTCTGATCAACTTTGTTTCCACTAAAACAAGTACTGTAGTTTTTGCATAAATGTGGCTTTCCTCAATATAAAACTGATTCTATTATTCTATCCCAGCAAAACCAGGACAAAATATTCTCTTCCTTTAACCGTCATAGTACAGATGGGCACATCTGGGTGGGCTGTGGACTTCTGCCGGCACTGGAGAAGCAGGACATGTATGTTTTAAGATAGGAAGAATTAACTTTGTTTCCCTGAAGCTCACTTCTAATGAAAGAGCAGAAAATGTATGCATGTTCACCTAACTGCATGCATATTTATACTAGTGTGTATATTACTTAGATAAATACACACACATCCCTCATCAGATTGCTGGTGAATTAAATTACTTCTAGTTGGAGAACTGGCAAGAGGGATTTCTTTTTCTAAGTACGGGCTTGAAGAGATGCCTGGACAAGCTGGGCTAGACAAGCATGTGACGTGTGGAGAGATCAGCGAGGAAGGAGGTGGTGAGGAATGACAAGGAGATGTAAAAGCTGGCCCGACTGGCAAGGCAGAGGTGATATCTGCGCTGCAGCTGCAGGAAGGGTTGTTGAGCAGGTATGCACAGCATAGCCAGACTGAGCTTAACCAACCGCAGCAAAGATGTGGCCTTAGAGATCGGCTGTGGGCTGAAGAGCCAAGGTTGATGGTAGGTTTGCCTGGTTTGTGCTGCTCTGGCTTAGGCTGCTGTTGTAGATGAGCCAGCCCGGGTGTCTTTCAGCAGCCCTGTAATAAAGGCAGAGTGAAACAATGAAGCGTTGTTTATGTGGACTGGAGATAGCGCTTAACATGTAGCCTTGGTGCTACAGGCAGTGAGGTTGCTGGGAACACATCTCAGCTTCTGGAAGGAGCCCAGAAGGAGCTGTTGAGCAGAGCGCAGGATGGCGATGGGAAGCAAGCTGGCCTCATCTGCCACGAGCCATTTGCGTTCTTGCTCGTGTCCAGAGAGGAACGAAAGGATTCCTCACTGCTTTTCTTCTCCTGTATGCATCTCAAGATGTTAATATCAGTGGTCATTTCAAGCTGGCTGGCAAGCCAGAAAGCAGAGCAGAACAGGGCTTATCCTCTTAAACTTGGGCTTTAAAACTAGCTTGTAGGTGATTAACATCAGACCTGGGAAGGGGCTTGTGGGAAAATAAGGGCAAATAGTACCATTAAAAGGCTGACTGGTCTCAACTGAATCGTGTGCCTCTTTTTTTCCAGCTCGCTTGTTCCTGATATTCAGAGTAAAACTGAAGCAATCAGTACAGAATGTTCTGAAACAATTCCTAGGGGAAATTTTTCAACTAGACTGCAACAATTCCAGGGTTTAGTTTTGTGACAAATGACCGTGTGTCCTTCCTCTCACAATTAGGCCAGCACCCTTTTTGCGTGCACTAAGCCCATATCCAGACTGTTGAGCATGTAGCTTAAGCCAGTGCCTCCCTATCTGTAGACTCTTGCAAAAACCAGAACGTAGAAACCTCAGGGACCAGCAGCTGCAATGTATTGAACAGGTTGCTTTTCTGCCCAGCAGAAACTTTGGTTTATACTTTGTCCTTACCACTTCCTTCATCACGCAGAGGTCTCTGCAGGTTAATCAGAGCTATGAGGAAAGCTCTGAGAGTCCAAAAAGCAGCTGCCAGGCAAGTGTATGGCAGGAAACCCCATTTTGGAAAACAGCACATATTTCCTAGAAACAGTGCCGAGAGACCCTTGAGACAACATCATCTGTGCTGTTCCTGAGCCCTTTGTGCCGTTGTGGCGAAGCTGCGGTCTGTGAGCAGTCTGCTTATGCCCATTATATTATGGAGTGTCTTTCCCTGGAGATCTGAGGTGTTTGGTAGGGAGCAAGTGACTTTTACAGGTTTCTCGTGCGCCCGCTCAGCTCAGAGCGTGCTGTTGAAGGGGTATCATCCTCTGCCGAGTCAGGCTAAGGACAGTTCTGGGAAACCCAACAGGAGCTGCTTAGTGATGAGCACACACCTACTGATGTGCCTAGTCCACATGTGAGCAGGAATTTATTTTGTGATGGGGGGCAAACATTTTGGGGAGAGTACAGAGCAAGGAGGTACTAACAGATCTTCCTGGGATTGACTTAATGTTTCCTACAACAAATCAAGATTTTTTTTCACCAATGCCTTATGGGTGCTTAATCTGGTTTTGTTTGGGAGATAATAGTTTTACTTACAATTGTGTAAGCCTGACAGAGTATATGATTAATGCTGTTTGTGTCTGCTGTGTTTGCATATGTGAAGGATCGCCTGTTCTTTGTGATGGAGTTCGTAAATGGCGGGGACTTGATGTTCCACATTCAGAAGTCGCGTCGCTTCGATGAAGATCGGGCCCGGTTCTATGCTGCAGAAATTATTTCAGCTCTTATGTTTCTCCATGAAAGAGGCATCATTTATCGGTGAGCTCTGCATTCGTTCATTCATTCATTCATTCATTCTCTTTGTCTGAACCCCGTGGCTGAGATGATCGCTTGAGTTTTCTGCTTGAATAAATAATTGTCACTTGCTGCCCACCAGGAACAAGTTGTCAGCTGGGATAACAGTACTTCTGCTTTCCCTCTGTACTTTGCCCAAGGTGCACCAGTTTCCAGGAGGGAGTGACATTTCTGGCTGCAGTACTGATGACTGGGAGGGTCTTCCTGTGACGTGTGTGTAAACACATAGAAAAAGAGGTTTTTCCTTCCGAGATACAGGGGCTAGATTTTGTGTTGGTGTTAGTTCACGCTAATCTACAGACCTAGCTGATTTATATCAGCTCCAGAACTGCCCGTTCTCTGCACCTCAGGTGTCTGCGTGGCTGCTGGGTGTTAGCTGCTGGCAGAAGCCTCCACCGTGCCGCTCTGGGCCTGTCCTGTTGCCATAGAGCTCAAGTCAAGCTGATGACAAAGGGAGAGGCATTAAGTGAAACCTTCTTAGATTTTCTGGGAGGTAAATGTAAGGAGATGTTGCTTTTGCCACTGTATGCCTTGTTGTTTAAAGGCTAATATGTGCTGGTTACACCCAAGCTTTTTTGTTTCCCTGCATTAGCTATGGGATTGGGTTTAAACCCTATCTATTTGATGTACCTATCCAGTGCCTCTCAGCTCAGCCACTGAAAGTTGTTTATTCTTGCCATGATCCTAAAGCAGGAGTTTTTCCTTTCTGTCCATGTCTGTCATATTTGCGTTTAGGATTGGAGCATCATTGCCTTCCAGCATCAGCCTCCACTTCCAGGTCTCAAGGCTCTTCTCAGGAAGCTGTTTCCATACACAGCCTCTTCTTTTGTCATTCCTTTGTACTCAAGGTGACAGTTTGGTTATATTTGTTCCCTTCTGTACTGCTAAAGTGCTCCACTGTCAGCTCAAGCATCAAGGCATGGACCAGCCAGCATGCATCAGGCAGCCAGTCTGCTTCACAGAAGCCTCCCTGACCAAGACAACCATTCAAGCAGCATCTTCCCATGTAAGCCAGGGGCAGAGTAAGACCTCCTCTGGGCTGGAACAGGACAGCTAGAGCAGGTAGATGTCAGCACTGAGACAGTCTGGTTATACAGAACGGTTTCTTTCTGACATGCTCTGCAGAACACATATGGCATCCTCTTGCCCACAGCGCTGGAAAGAAGGAACAGTCAGTTATTTTCTTTGGATGCTGTTACCTGGCTTCCAGCAGCAAAGCGTCCGTATTTGGATATGGTCTGCTCTAGCCTTACTCAGTCCCATCTGTGACGTGCCAGCACTGCAAAGAATAACACCAACTCTGTCTTTTTGCTGCTTGGTTACAGTTGTGCAGCTGGGACCCACAACTGGGTCCACGATGGGACCAGTTCCAATCCCAGCCAGGCTCTGTTAGTAGCACTTCAGACTGTGGGTTGTGCCATTTGGTTGGGGCTTTACATTGTTTAACCCAGGTGATGCAGCCCTGTGTTTAGTAATACGTCCTCCCTGTATCAGATAAACCCTGTTTTGAACACACAGAAGCCAGAATAGCTCAAGGCTACAGTGGTCATAAGGCCAGGGGCTGTGCAGAGAAAGCTTTCCTATCTGGTGGGGAGATGAAAGGATAAACAAAGTAAAAGCAACTTCTTTCTCTTTCTAGCTTGAGCTCAAGTAAGAAACAGATGGTTAGGTGAAGACAGGGAATATTAAATCATTTTTAAGTATGAAATCATAAGATATATGTGACTCAGTGAAATAGAAAAAGAGTGTCATTTTAATATTCTCTGGGTCTTGAGAGTATGAAAATTACTACTATTATGTACCATACGTATTGAGCTTCTAAAGCACTGTGATTGTCTGCACAGAATAGCAAATCTACTTACTCTGCAACTGGATTTCAGTCTAATTCTTCAGTGGCTGGCATTATTCACAAGGGAAGAGAGACCCTGCCAGATAATTATGCAAATGGTATTAGTGACATCCAGTAGCTATTGTCACTCATTCAGCAGCAAAACTGTGTCTGTGCATAAGGTAATGCCACTGTGCCTATAGCTTGTCCTGTCCCCACCCCAGCCTGCTGCCTGTCACAGGGCAGGAGTAATCGATCCCTCTGGGTTTTGGCACTCTTCAAATGCTGCCATAATTCATGATAGAAACTGGAGGAGTAATTGAAAAGCTCCTTGAAAAACTGCATAGGCTTTGATCTTGTTGAGAAACTGGTTGAGCTCTGGGATCAGGTAACTTCAGCTGCATGGGGCAGATTTTCAGGAGGATGACTTGGTTTTTTAAAATTAGTCAGGGTGACTCTGTTCGGGAAGATGTAAGAGGAGAGGGCTGCTGGCTGCACTTGTGTAAGAAAGTTTGGACGTTTTACGACCAGAATGTGAGTGCTTGCTTAGGAAGCTGGGAGCAGCGGGGAGAGACACCAGGAAAAGCCTGCCCAGAAACTGTTTTTCCACAAGCTGTTCAATGTGCCTCTTCCTTCTGGATCCCCAGGGTCTATGAAGCAGTAGAGTTTCTGACCTAGAATACCCTGGGTCATTTGCTTTTCTTCTGGACTAAACTTAAACATAGTAATACTGTATTTTTCCTTGCCCCCGTCAAGATTAAGCAGTACAGGAGAGTCTGCATTTACCAACGCAGGGAGCATTCTCCCATTTAAGTCAAGTTGCTTTTGCCACAGGTGCTGCCAAAAGCTGCATCTTCTCTCCTTTGAAATGTCAGAGAGGCTTGAGAGCCAGCACTGGAAGCTCATCAAGAAATAGCTGAACTGTGTCACTTTGGCCTGGGGTGACAATGCTGGTGACAGCCAAAATCAGATGTTTGTTGATTCCTTTTTGGCCACACATACAGAATTTGAAATAGCCACAGTGCAGTATTTCTGCGATTGCTACTGTGTGTTCATGTGAATGGGCTTCCTGAGGTACGCAGTGTATTTTGGTTATGTGTGACCTTTCAACATCAAAATCAGGCTCACTGCTGGATTGGTGCTCTCGTAGGATGGTTTTCATGGCACAGCTGACATTTTCAGTAAGTTTGCCTCTCACTTTGAGGAAAGTCTGCTTTCTGTTACTAAACTCTGGCCAGAATAGAAGTCACAGAAACGTATGTGTGAGCATTTGGGTTTTTTTACAAGAGAGGTTTCAGTTTCACGGGCTTTTTAAAAAATTATTTTTCATTTGCAGTGCTGCACATTAAAAATGGCTTCCTGGCCTTACCAAGGAAGCGTCTCCGTCTTGCCCCAAGCTGAGCTTTATCTGTCAACTCAACAGTGCCTATTTAGAGTTGCTTCCTGAAAAGAAGGTCGACAAGTACAGTGTGGTTCCTTATCCCATCAGACAGGGGTAGGGCTAGAGCGAATCCAGCCATGAAAGCAAGCTTTTCAACAAGTCAAATCCCGGTACAGGGTGCACCCTGCGAGGAGTAGGACGAGGACGTATTTGCGACCAGCTCCTGCTGTACGTTGCCAGGGAAAGGTTAGGCGATAATCAAAGCTATTGTAGCTAAAATCTTTGCTCCCAGGGCAGGGTTCTTGCGCTGCTGCTTTCTTCAAGTTTACTTCTAAAGGAAAATAGTTCGCTGAGTCCTGCTGCAGGCAGGGGGGTTGGTTTGTGGTTTTTATCTAAGGACTCTGCGTGCTATTTTTCTTGAGGCAGCTCTCCCTAACTTTCACTTTCCAGTTCAGCAGTTCCCAGGGTAGGGGAAGCATATTTTGGCTTCTGTGCATGCCGGAAACAAAACAAATTAGCACGCACATGTGAGCAGTATTGGATTGCACAGTGGCTTACTCAGTGCAAGCGAGCTCGTCCACTTGTAGTCTTCTAAAAGGCAAAGAGGTAGTAAATGATTGTGTTCATTTTAAAAGCAGGGTTTTTCCTTCCATGTAGCATTACTGTAAGAATGGTCTGCCCTGCTGCCCTCAAATTCAGACGTTTGCACAGGTTGATGCACAGCTGTGCTGGTGGATGGCTCTGCTTACCAAGTCGCCTGCATCGTGCCCCTCAGTAGCGGCATTTACTTGCGTAATGAGGGCAAATGCAAGTGTTTTTCAGAATTCGTTTGTTGTTGGGGGGGATTGTTGGCAGGGGAGGGGCTGTGGGGCACAGAGGAGTGGTGTGCAGAGTCCCCGTACTTGTGTGGCACCAGCCACTGAGATAAAAGGCAGCAAACTTATGAAGTAGGTCCCTTCACTTGACTGTGTTTAATAGGATGTGTGGACCCTTTAGAAGGCAAAAAATAGTTGTGCAGTTATCAAGATGAGAACATGGTCTTACCTTGGGGCTGAACACTAGCTTTTGAGGAAAATACGACAGGCTCATTAACAGCAAGTGTTCGATTTTTTTGTGTGTTACCTGAAAGCGTCACCTTCGTGCGTGTGGTGCTCTGTATGACAGGGAAAAGCTCTGTCTCCTCTGGGATTTGGAAAGGTTGCTGGATGCTGGCCAGGTCTGTGAAATCATCACCTTTCCTTGGTGTAGGAGACCTGTCAGGTCTGCAGCTGCGTGTCTCATGACTGTTGGCTTTTATAGGGGATGAGTTTTTTGCAACTGGTTAATTCGCTGCCAATTCAAACAATAAGCCTGTGACACTTGGAGAAAGGTTTATGTAAGCCTTTTACAGAGACCAGTTTTGCTGGAAAGACTCCTATGAACTGAAACAACACTGAAGTTTCTTTCAGAAAAATCAATTAAAAATTACACGCTGAAAACAGAAGCTGAATGCCTTTCCAAATTACATAGAGCCACTGTTAACAGAGCAACTCTTATTACTGTGCTGTTTGCTTTTTCCATGGGACAAGACATTGGAGACATGGGATCCCTCATACTCTGTTGGTTTTTGGGTTGGGGTTTGGGTTTTTTTTTTGGAAACTGATGACTTTGTTTATTCTCGTTTCATGCCCTTTTTTTTGCATCTGGAGCCAGATCTTGTTTCCCCTGAAGTTAAGGAGCTTCCCCCGGGGAGGTAAATCAGCAGTGGTAGTGGAT